CCGTCTTTGTGCTGTCTGCCCGACGCTCACGTTTGCACAGTTCATACGACTTCTACGATACTGAAAGCACCACAGCAACGCTTTGTTCTTGATCAGAAAACAAGCTTTTCTGCTTGTTCAAGCGTTTTTACCCATCGGCGAGTACGCAGTTGGGAGTCGGAGGACTGAAATATCTACACAAACATCCCGGACACCGTGTCCGATGCACAACCTGTCAGAGGAATGGAATCGGCCGCACAAAAGCCGTAGTAATATGGAGGGATGTCGGCTGTGTGATCTGGCTCTGCAAATCATTGTTCAAGAGATGGCACAGCTCAGTGATCAAGGCTCTATCCAGGTGGAAATGATGGATGCGCAGGACATCGGTTAAACTCAGCACATTTAAAACATTTCCAGACACCCTCTGTTTGCCCCGGCGCTGCTGTCTCCTTTGATAATCCTTTTCTACACTTGAAACCATTAGAGGGAGGACACATTTTGTTTGCATAGATAATTTTAAATTGAATTTTCCTGACCCAACAATTCATGTCCTGTTCAATATATTTAGAATTAATTAGTGTGCAGATTACATTACAGGTACTGAACTGTTTCAGGTGATGTATGAAGCTTACAAATGGTTAGCATCAGAGTCCCCCCACGCCCTAACGTGAAACTAGACATGTCTTTAATATTCATAAATCCAAGGTCATAGCTTTTCAGGAGGCCACTTATTTCCATTCACAAGTGCGAGGCTGGAATTAGCACAGTGGGACGCTGTATTTACTTTGAGACGAGTGCTGATCACAGCCAGTCACAGGACTTGGTGTAATTATAAAAGTTGAAGCAGCGTACAGTAGCTGAGAGCTGCTGGAGTTCAGCCTGGCCAGGATAAAAACCCAACAGTCAGTTACTGCATTAGAGCGAATCACTATAGCTCGCCTCTCAAATCCCTCACCCAGGAATTGGCAGGAGCCTCCTAATAAGCACTCGCTTTCTGAACAAAAGGCAGGAGAGATATAGGTGAGGTGTAGAACAAAACTGGCTGTTTTTTTTTTAACCTCCTGCTCACTAATTGATGACCTAGATAGTGGAGGGAGACAGCTGTATAACTCACCGTTAAAGGGAAACATAGAGAGGCAGAGGAAGGTGTCGCTCCCCTTTTGTCTTCTCTGACCGTCTCCAGCTGCTGATGGAATTGTGTTGAGGTTGTACGACTTTGACGGGTGTCTGCACGTGACATGTCTCCATGTAGCCGTTTGTGTTTTCGTGGCTAAAAAGCGGCGTCCTTGCGAGGCGGTCTAACCCGGGGAAGCCTTTGATGGACGGCGGTGGTCAGCGCCGGTCAAGTTCAATGTTAATGCAAATACGCTCATTATGGTAATGATGCACGCTGAAAACTCACAAGCAGATAGTCCATCATGTTTGGGGAAATATATGATCTGATACCAGAAGGTAAAGCTATGGACTTTCATGACCTACATTACTGTGTAATTGTGAAAAACTGAAATCATTTCAGGTTTCTACGCTGATTAATTACAGTCTGAACACTTACATCCGACCACCTTCCTGTGGAGTGGAGCTATGGGCCGACTCCTTGGTTCACTTTCCTTCCAGCCTTGGTTCCATTGTTTGTTCGTTGGTTATTCTCAGTTTAATGCTGAACTCTACCAGTTTTAGTCGCTTTTCTAGTCATGAGAAGGTGCTGGGGCTGCAGGGTGGTGCAGTTGGTAGCACTGTTGCCTCGCAGCAAGAAGGTTGCCGGTTTGCGTCCCGGTGGGGGCACCGGAATCTTTCTGCGTGGAGTTTGCATGTTCTCCCCGTACAGCGTGGGTTCTCTCCGGCTTTCAAAAACATGCTGAGGTTAATTGGTGATTGTAAATTGTCCGTAGGTGTGAATGTGAGTGTGCTTGGTTGTCTGTCTCTAAGTGTAGCCCTGTGATAGACTGGTTACCTGTCCAGGTGAACCTGCCTTCGCCCAAAGTCAGCTGGGATAGACTCCAGCCCCCCCGCGACCCTAGTGAGGATTAAGCGATGTATAGATAATGGATGGATGGAAAAGGTGCTGCTCTCTTTATCCGGGCACAACCGCGAGCTTCTTCCTGCTATGGGTTTTAAACAGGGCTGAGAAAATGACTCAAATAACATAAACTCGAGTAAATATGACTTTGTGGAATGTGCAGGAGCGTGACATATGGACTGGAAGTCAGGATATGTTGTGGGTCCTTCAGGAGCAGAGCCAAGGGCCCAACACGCCCACGAGTGAAGCCAGTTAGATGGCTATCTACACACTCATAGTACTGGAGGAGTTCTGACCGAGCAGAGAAATGTTGTAGCATTCAGAAGTGTTGCACTAGTGTGTAGAAGGATTCTTATGCGTGCCCTTTCCTATGTCATTTAAATTTTAATTATCTTCTACCAACAATGGAAAAACCATAACTTTCGTTGAGGTTTACACAAAAAAGATGATTCTATTGTATATTAGTTTACATGCACTTGTACTGGCCAACATAAAGGAATATTTGGCCTACAGAGTTTTTTCTGTAGAAAAGAAATGAATGCTACACCGTGCCAGCTAAGTGTGAGTAATGGTCTCAGTCTGGCCACCGCTATTAAAACTGTCTGACTCTGCTGCTGGTGTCTTTGCGTGTTAATCATTTGGGATTCATGGAGCCCCTCAGAGTCCTGAAAGATGATGATGAACGATGATTTTTAGCTAATACGTAGAGGATCACGACGTGTATTCACAAATTATTATCTTCTGTAAACAGCTAGGATCGAACATCTTGATCATGTATCGTGTGCCAAAACTATAGATATTATACAAACATCAGGACTTTGTGGTTCTCTGTGTGATTTTGATTGTTTATTCCAAATAGTAATGAGTAACTTAAGATGGTGGCAGAAATGTAGTTGATGTTATGTCGGCTTATTGCCCATATGTGCAGGAGTGTGCTTTTCATTGGGGGATGGAGCCATGACCTCCCTCACTCAGGTTGTTTTACTGTCTTAAATCTCTTCTTACTGTTTTGTGAGTTGTTACCAGATGTTTACATCACAGGTCATTTATAGTCAATCAAAATCCCAACGCTGCTATTGGCTAAAAATGTACCTGTTTTATAAATATACAGTAGTTATGATTTACAGTTTATCTATTGCCAAAAGACACATGAGACACACAAGATCACATGAAACTGTATATAAAACACGGACATAGTCTCTGGGGGGCTGCATGGTGGTGCGATGGTTAGCATCATTGTCTCGCAGCAAGATGGTCGCCGGAGGTGAGGACACCCGGGATCTTTCTACGTGGAGTCTCCATGTTCTCCCCGTGCAGCGTGGGTTCTCTCCGGGTTCCCTGGCTTCCTCCCACAGTCCAGAAACATGCTGAGATAAATTGGTGATTCTACATTGTTCGTAGGTGTAGGTGTTAAACAGTGTACAGATAATGGATAGGTGGCTGGATGGTCTCTGGGTCTGAGAAGTGAAGCTGAAGAATGTCAAACCTGCATACTGTCCAACAGCCAGCAGGGGGCGACTCCTCTAGTAACAGAAAGAATTGATTCTTTGAGAACTTATTTTAACTCACAGCAGACGGCAGGAATGAGCCTTCTGTCGGTCGCACATTTCATACTGCTTCACTACAAACTACCACACCGAAAGTTTCACGTCTTACCGAGGATTCGGATCAAGCGCTCAGTCAGCCCTGTTAGTTTTAGCAGTTTTATTTGCGTTTCTGTGCCACCAAGCAATCCCTATGTCACTATCTTAAGGGGACATTGAAGCACATATATGACCGGGATGGGTTTAAAGAAATACAAACAAGCCAGTGCTTTTTTTTTCTTTGCCTAATAGCAAAATGATAATGAAATGCAACCACACTATTCAGTCATACAGAATGGATGGTTAATGAGAAACTGACCCTACTTCTCCCTTATTTATTACCTCAGTAAACATTTTCTGTTTTTTTTGTTTTTTTTTAATAGAGCATGATGTCCATTTTAGACTTAGATAAACTGTATTGATCCACAAGGGAAATTGTTTTATCACAGTAGCACAAAATGAAATAATTAAAGCAGAATATACAGGGAAAAAAAAGTAAAAAATAAGAAAAAGTAAAAAAAAAACAAGCAGGGGGAAAAAAAGAATGCAATACAAACAATTTAATACGTACAATTTACAGTTTTACAGTTTTTTTTTTGTTTTTGCTTGTTTGGTTTTTGGCAAGTAAAGAAAGACAATAAAAGAAATAGTCATAAAATAAAAAGAAAATAAAGATAGAAATAAATACTGCTGTAACACTTGTGCAAAAATATGATGGAATTTTGTAAATTATGGTCAAACATTTTAGGGCCTGCTGCTTTGTGACTGAACGGTCGCTACGGTATCATCATGTGTAGAATTTTGCTTGTGCAACACACAGTAAGCTAGAAGGCCCAGATACGCCACCTGCTGTATGCTCGGTATTGCTGTGAATACACTTTAATTACAAAGCCAAGAAGCCCTCGTTGCTTTGGTGTCTTAAAATCACTGACGCCATTTGAAATGTGAGGCTTTGTGCTTTTACAAATTCAGAATGGACTGATGCCATTTAAGACACTTCAGCAGACGTTGAACTGACCCAATATTTGGACCAGTGATTGTCCGGGGGTTAAGTGGTGGTGGTGTGCCAACGCTAAAGACCGGTTTCATCAGAGTTAGATATGTGTGATCAGTGCATTCTTCTGAAGCCAAACCTTTGCCCCGGTACCTGAATGTGATCTTAATTTTATGCAACGATTTTGAGACTTCCTCAAAACCACGACTCATGAAAAGGTGACACAGCGAACCACAGATGAGACGTCTCAGGAATGCTTCCTCGCCGATTCTATCAAGACAGAAAATAAAACAGAAACTGCTGATAAGTTTTTGGTTAACTTCACTTGCTGTTTGAGCCAGGTGTGACTGACACAGGAAAAGTCTTTGCTCTTTATCTCAAACACACAGATTCTGACTGATCTGCGCTTTCTCGCTCTCTGTTGCAGTTTAACTTTGTCGGCAAACTCCTCGGGCCACGCGGGAACTCGTTAAAGAGACTACAGGAGGACACTCTCACAAAGATGTCAATTCTTGGAAAAGGATCCATGAGAGACAAAGAGAAGGTAACCCTCTAGTCTGTTATTTCATTTTTATTCCTGCTCTCCTCGCTCCTTTCACTTCTTTTGCCTCCGCATCATTTTATCTCGCGCCGCTTCTGCTGCTCTTTAACGAGGTCTGAAGTTAAGGTGGATCTACCACTCGACTTAAGTGACGTCCCCATAACAAAGGAGAATATCAATGTGAGGTGGCATTCAGATTTTGTCAATAAATAATCCACCTGTTTGAGGAAACTTTGCGGCCTTTTTTTCCCCTCTATTTCTTTATATACCTAAAACAGATATAATTTACGGAAGCCGAGAGCGGTCATGGCCGCACGTTTTTTTAAACAGCATTTTCTCGAGATAACGAGATAATTATCCCGTTGACAGTTTCGGCTGTCCCTTCAGCCTTCATCAGAAGTTGTGGGACTTCCTGGTGTGACGTATCTTATATAGACAGCTGAGCGGGAACTCCGACATGACGTGTCATGAGAACAGCTGACTGGGCACGACAGCTCACAATGAAGCGCTGGTGCCCGGTCTGGTCTGTCCTCCGGCCCCCCGCTGGTGACTGAGGATGGAATCCCAGGTGTGTGGGAGGTCCCACACACCTGGGATTCCATCCTGGACCGGGCTTGAGCGGGCAAACACAAACACCAGTTATCTCGTTTTCACAAGAAAACGATTCTTGTTATCTCGAGATAACGAGAAAATTAACTCGTTATCTCGAGAAAGCGGCGAAGAAAGAACAGTAGCGAAAAACGACCGCTCTCGGCTTCGGTAATAATTGTCTCCCTTCATAATAAAATAATATTTAGAATTTATTTTTAAAAATAATAATTTAAAATTATTTTTAAAAACTAAGCATTATTTTCTTTGCCAGTTAATTTGTTTTGTTAATTTTTTTTCATAATTAATCAACTAGTTGTCTTTAAAATGTTAGAAAATTAAGTGAAAAATATTCTGTCACAGAGGATCAAACGAAGCAGAAAATATTCACATTTAAGGATCTGAAATCAAAGAATTGTAATTTTTTCTTAAAGACATATTCATTAATTGTCAAAAATTGTTTGGAAAGTTGAATTTTTGACAAGTAATTGATTATTGGATTCATGGTTGCCCTTTACAGATCCCAACATCCCCGAGCTGACCTCTTCAGACGTTTTTGGTTTGTCCATTCAACAGTTTAAAACCCAGATATAAATACTATCATAGAAAACAAACATACAAAAAATTATTCATATTTGAAGCTGGAACCATTAAATGTTTGCTTCTGCATTTTGTCAATTTTGACAAATAATTGTCATTGTTTCATGTTTTTAAACAGCAATGTGTTTAAAATGTTTTTAATTATGTTTAGAGGGGACAAAAGGCTTTAATTTACTGACTTACATGGGATTTTAATTGACGTTTTCATTTTCCCTTCGTTATAACTTGGAAGAAAGTGATCTAACGTTTGTATGTTTATGTGTTCGTCTCGGGTCACCCCGCTATCTCTGACTGCATTTGATTGACAGCTCTCAGGTCGCGTAGGCTGCATTAGAGTTTTGCAAAAACAGCTTCGTCTTGAAAAACAAAAATTCAAAAGCTTATGGAAATGTGAATGATCTTGGGGATCGCCAAACACGGCTGACATCTTTCAAAGCCCACTCTCGCTCATAGTAAGCAAAGTACACACAGTCGAATCGAGTGCAGAGTGTACACAAGACAACACTCTGTCTAGATTTATGCTTTGTTTTTATATAAATTCAGGCTCAGGGTGGGAAGATTGCTCTTTGTAATGATTTGAACAAAACTTTGTGGGGAAAAAACAGGATGGATTTTGTGAGAAGGAAATAGCCTGAAATTTCAAACACAATCCACTTTAATGACTTCTGTCATCTGTGATCATGTCAGCACATAAAGAGTGGATATAAATGGCTCTAACGGCGGATCTTTAGCGGCGGAATTGATCGCACGCTGGACTGTTTAACTGGGAATAAATCGACTTCACTTGGCTCGTCCGTGTCTGTCCTCTCCCTCTGTTTGTCAGCGGTGATTTGTTGGTGGCGATGATTCTTGCTATAATACAGCACATTCTTTTAGATTACTGTGATCAATAGGCTTTGATGGTGGACTCCTCTCGAGTACCTGGAGAAAAGATCTGTCATGGAGATGTGCTGACCTCGGCAGCCCTTACCTGTCTGCACAAACCCACTGCGGGATTTATGACTGACAGCTTTCTCTCCGCGTAGTGCTGCTGCTTCTCCTCTTTTTTTCTTTTTTAGGGGTGTTTGAGGATACAACCTTGGTACAAAACTGATACTTTATGTTCGGCTCGTTGCTGACTTTCTGTTTTCAGCCAAATAGCATGTGTCACTGCAGTCGTCTGCACTCGAAGTTCCTCGTGTGGGTCAGGAAGCTCGGCCCAAAAAACACGGACTCGGAGGCTTTTTCTCGACAGCTAAAAACAAAGCTGTCTTGTCTGCACAGGAGCAATAAGTGAAGCTGCCTTGGTTCTATTTATATTGATAAAATACATACTGTACTGTATATCTGGGTTGCACCTGCCTGACTAAAGAGGGGATTATGTACCTCTGGAAGACATTAGATGAAATGGTAATTGCGATCGTACCTGGAGGGTGAAACTATACAATGTTCAGTGCATTCCCTTTTAAGCTCTTACATTTGGCAGACGCACCGCCAGAGCTGGCATAATTGCACAAATATTTGCTGCTGCGGGACCTTGATGTTGCTCTGACGACAATGCGAGGTTGAAAGGCACCGAGCTGTCAGAGGCAGAGTCTCCCCGCCTGGTTATGGCACCTCGGTTGTCCTGCTGCTGTCAGCGCAGGATGATGTAAAGGCGTCCGCATCCCGCGCCCCCTCCTCGTTAGCGCCGTGATTAACTCATCCATTTTCCTCCCTGGGACCTGCACTCCCTCTATAATTTTCCTGATAGGCAAAAACAATCACATTTTCTTTTGTTTCACTTTTAGCAAGTCCTGCATCGAGTTTAATTTGCGAGCTGCTGCTGTGGAGGAATACGTTCTGCATGTGTGAGAGCTTTCCTTCGCCACAATATGAATCGAGCTGCGCGTGCTTCAGCCGCACTGAAGGTCCATTTACCATTTGAAAAACTCGCGGATGATATAATTAAAATCGTGTTAACAAGTACATGAATTGTGGGAAATGCACGGTCAGCCTTTTTGAAGGGAATATCTCTTTTTTTTTTCCTCGCCTTCCCTAAAGGAGGTGTGGGGTCGACTTGTCTCGCAGTGAGCTGTGAAGACATTTATGACGTTTAGCGTGCTGTGCTGTTTGTGCATTTTAGTGTATTTAGAACAAATGTACCGGTCATGTGACCAGCTGCAGCCAAAAACCTAAAAATAAATAAATACACACAAAAGAAGAAATGGTAAACCGCAGTGGAATACTAGAATGTTCAACAGCTGTATAGACAGTGTCAATAGCAACAAATATTTATCATTATTACATTTTTCAATCATCTCACGGCCGTTTTGGCATTTGTTAGCTTGAATATAAATAAAATGGCGCTCAGTAGAAGTTGGTTGATTTTCTGCCTGGTCAATACTGAGCATTTTTTGTTTCTTTAACCAGCTCTTGACAGAATATTTGTAAAAATGCATGATTGTGGCTCTGGTACAGCCGTCTCGCTCTGACTCTAATCTTGATCTGTAGGGCAGCCGTGGCCCAGGTGGTAGAACGGTTGACCAGCGAGGCCGTGGGCTTGATCCTCCGTGTTCGAAAGGTTCTTGGGCAAGACGCTGAACACTTGCATGACTGCCTTCGTTGGTGTAAATGGGTGAATGAACTTCGTAGAACCTCGTTAAGGTGCGATATCGGTGTGGATCATCTATCCTGTGGTCTCTAGCAGTGTCCTGTCCACAGCTTTAGCTGACACATCACGATCTGGATGTTTGAAATAAGTGCATGGAAAACACAAATAAACAGACTTCAACAAAGTTTTATGTTTTCTAAATTTTGACACCAATATATTCACTTTTCTACAAATAGATTTTGTCTGCAGATAGTTTATAAACAGCATTACAGAGCGTAACACTGGAGTCGACCCCCTAGTGGCCAGTAGCTGTAGTGCACTATCCAGCAAGAAGGAGGTGAATCTGGACACAGCTTAGATGTTTAGTGTGTTAGCATGCTAGCATTGTGTGACGGAGCGACGCCGTCACTAGCTGAAGTTAGCGGGCCGGCATGCTGACGTAGCACACACACACACACACACACACACACACACACACACACACACAGGACACACACATACGCACACCCATTTACAAACGTCACCATAACCTGCACACACACCTCATCCTATTTCACTTCCTGCTGTTAGTATCGTGACCAAGGGTGCACACTTGCAGCGATACTCTCTCTCTTTCGTCCATACACGCACACACACTCACACACACACACACACACACACACACACACTCACACACACTCACACACACTCACCATCCGTTGCAGTGGTGGGCAGCTGGCTGGATGCTTGGCGGGAAAACCCGGGCCATACCACCAGCCGGCTTAAATGGTATGGGCCCGCGCGGTTTGCCCGTCACATGATGCGCAACATTTTATTATTTTTCCTTTAAACATGATTCCTTGAATTGATGATGTCATTGTGGGAAACCCTACCCCTGTCCCCTGGATAGTAATGGTATGTTTCCCATAGCGGGGGTGAAACTGTTTATTTGGAACAAGAAAACAATGTTTATGTAATTGTTGTATGTTTTGCCTGTAAAGGCTCCGCCCAGTGGGCGGGGCTTGGCCTTTAAACCTGAGGGCTCTGGGCCTGATTGGATGTGGGAGTAGTTGGAGTTTGGAGTTGGAGGTAGTGACAGTGTTGGTCTGAATGTTTTTTTGAAGCTGGAGTTAAAGGAGAACTGGTGTGTATGTAGTCCTGTAGATCTGTAGATAGAGTTTTTCTTTTCTCTTTCTTTGCTTATTTTTACAATTGGGTTTTTGCACTTTTTTTTTTTTTTTTGCACTTTGTAAATATTCTATTT